GAACCATAAATCATGATTCAGAATCAAGAACGAATATATGAAATAAACGTCCTCTAAAGATTTCAAACTACAAATTCAAACTACGTATTTTTCAAACTTTCCATTTCAAAAAAAAAAAAAAATTCAAACCACCTATTTACTAAACAGATGAGTAAGCTTTCTGTGGGGAAGGGTGCAAAACTTACAGATATATATATCCCGTTCATTTTACCATTCAAGTTTAGAATTCGAATTTTGTTATAATAAAAAGCTCTTAAAAAGAGTCACATTTAACTTTTTTGCTACAATAAAAAACTCTCATATAAAGTCAAGTTTCAACTTGAATTAAAAACTCGAATTAGCGAACTAAACAGACCCATAATTATTTGTCTTCGACGTCTTTCCTATTATGATCAATGATAGTCTCTCTCGATAAATTACATTATATTATGATCATCATATAAGTCTCTCTGTTTCAATTTCGTGTTGAACTTTCCATGGTTGGTTAATTGCTATGGTCGCTGTCACTGCAATGAAAGCATGCACCGGGACTCCGGGACCACAATGTCTTTCATTCAAATAATAAAGCTTACATTAATTATAACAAGTCTCAATATATAAATATATCAATTTTTATTTATATATATGACTAAAAATATTTACCTATGTATTATTGTGTGGACAAATAATGCATGGGGACCCCTTTCAATGCCCTTTGGACTCAACTGCACTAATTATTATGGTTGATGTGTTCGTTTATGTGGTTGTTTCATGTTCGTGGAACCTATGAAGATAGCATTGTATTATTTTATATCCTAGTACTTGAAAGTTCCCATGGTTAGTCAGTGTTCAGATCCACCTATAAGTGAGTGCGAAAGTTTAACTTTTTACTTCTAATTAACATGATTTTAAGGCTTTTCTTTGTTCTTCGTGTGGAGGTCCCTCTAACGTAACACATAGTTATAAAAACGTATCATGATAATTATTAAATGCAATATTGACGTTGGAGAGAAGTAACGCTAAAAAAACTAAGCACTTCTCTCCAACATTCATGTTATGTTCAATAATTATCATGTTTCGTTTTCATAATTACATGTTATGTTGGAGAGACGGAAGAAAAATCTTACGATTTTAACTCTGCCACTGCATTTAGTATATATTTTCTTTTTTCTTTTTCTGATTTTAGGACGAGGAATCAGAATCAACACTAGAGTAGACATAAAACTGCTAAGATAGACCATTTTAGTTCCTATTCATATGAGCAAATTCTTGTTATTTTCTTTTGATTTCTTTTTTTTTTTTTTTAAATATATGAGAGGAAATTTTATTTTATGTTACCTGGACGATTTAAAAGGAACAAGAACAAATCTATATCTATCTACATAATATATTCATCACCATCAGTGACCTTAATTATATTCAAGTGATACTGTATTATCGTGTGATATTGTCTTTGTTTTTTTTTTTTTTTTTGGCACGATTCTTCATATTTTTTCATCCATCTTACTTTCTAAAAGTTTCTCATGTGTTTGATCATTTCTTGATAGAACATGTTAAGTGTGTAATACGCGTCCGGATTAATAAAGTTTAGTGCCCCAAATATGTAATGATTAGTGTTTTATTGAAATTAGGCAGAAAATTTGGAATTTAGGCAGAAATCTATATCATAATTATTAAGTCCTTAAAATAATAATTTTGAGAGACTATTTCTTGAAATTTAGGTAAAAATATCCTGGACAATATGATAATCATGAGTAAGCAACGTCAATCTACATCTAACGATACATGCAAGTACTAGTGAGGATTTGATTAGATAATAGTTTTCTTTTTTGTTTTTTTTTTTTCTTGAAATCATGTAGAGCACGAAAAATAACCCACAAAAAGTGTCCTCACAGATACATACATACATATATATATATAATGTATATGTATGGACCACTTGTCTTCTAGTGCTTGTCGTTGGGACTTCATCATACATCATATCTTGTCTCAAGATAACATTTTCCTGCACATTCCTATGCAATTGCCATGCGTGCTTTCTTGATTTGATTTGCTTTTGAAACCATGACCGAATACTTTTCCGACAACTACCCCCACAAACTTCAATGTTTTAAGCTGGTCTATCAAAATTTGTTAATACTAGAATCAAGGATTTACATGCTCGCAGTAGGAATGTACGTATTGTGTTCGTATTGTGTTTTAATATTTTTTTAAAAATTATATTATTTGATTTTTATGTCATTTTTTTAGCAATGTTGTTGTATTTTGACCCATATTACTAGTTCTACTCGTTGTTTTTCTTTATTTTTTTTTGTTTTTATTTTTATTTTTATTTTTTAAGCATACTCTGCAGCTAACTGTTTGGTTCGGTTTGCTATTTCCCACCCTCGTGACTTTGTTTGGTCTGAAACTTGTCTGAAGTTTAATGAAAGTCATTCCATTAAAAAATGTCGCATGATGCGGGCTATAAAATTAATAAGAAAAAAAAAACCAAAGTGTTATATATCTCGTTGTTATAGTATCATTAATTGAAGAAAAATGACGATATTTTGAAAGAATGTTCTCTCAATGTAATACTTAATCACGTTGTTGAGCTATGTGATTACGGTTCTATTCTAAGGATGTAAATTTCCGCATATTATTAGGTCACTGCTTGCACAAGATAGAGGACAAATTCTGACGTAGATCAAGGCACCCATCATTTTCACTGAACAATTCTACATAACCACACAACCAACTGACCTGAATCAATCGGCTCTTATAAGCCGTTCTTAAAGTTGGTCCCACAGAGAAATCGTGGGGGTAACCTTCCCTGCCGTCTGATTGGTCTTCGATCCTTGAATCGACAAATGAAAATCAACGGTTGAAGACGATTCAACCGACAAACAACCTAGGTAACTTTATAAAATTTCTCTAACATACAATGGAAATGTAAGAAGCCCATACGTCTCAAATATATATATAGAGAGAGAGAGAGAGAGAGAGAGAGAGAATTGTTAATGGCCAAAATTAATAGAATATACTGCAAAAGAATTATCTTTTACATATATATGTTGATATTTTCTGGGCTGAAGACTTGTAGGACGTGTTTAAAATTGATCCCATTTTTATTTTTCATATTTTTTGAGAAAGAAAAAATGAAAACGTTTTTAAAACGGCGTTTGGCACAATAAAAATAAACAATGGAAATAAAAATGATTTTTTGATTTAGTGTAAAATGAAAGAGAAATGAAAAATGACTTTTAGTTATTTTTCATTTTTTGTTTCCGTTTTCTCCTCTCTCGAGCACAGAAAGGAAGAGAGATATTAATGGATTTTTTTATACTGAAAACAATCTTTGATAAAACTACTAAACACATTTTTAAAATAATTTCTGTTTGAGATTGAAAATATTTTTATTTCTACTTTCATATAAAAAATAAAATCATTTTAAAACGAGTTCTAAACGCACCTGCAAAAGAATGATCTTTTACATATATAATTGTTAATGGCCAAAGTTAAGAGAATATACTGCAATAGAATGATCTTTTACATATATATATATATATATATGTTGATATTTTCTGGGCTGAAGACTTGTAATTTTCTTGAACGCGTTTAGATCACAAGGGGGATATCAGCAGACAAGGCTACGGGGGAGAAGCATACATGAGAAACTTATTTTTGGAACCAGGGAATAGAGATGTCGATTTCCAATGGTGTGTGCAGTTGCCTTGTTTTCCTTCCCTTAGAAAACTGTGCCACCAACTTTGCCCACGTTCTTAATTAGTTGCCACTTTTTTAACTTTTCTTTACGTTAGAATACCACATTTTACACGCTTATTTTTACCGTTTGAAAATCCGATTCTCAACTAAGAGTCTGTTTAGTTCATATATTAGAACTATAATATTATAATTATTTTTTATTTACTTTACGTTAGAATACCACATTTTACACGCTTATTTTTACCGTTTGAAAATTCGATTCTCAACTAAGAGTCTGTTTAGTTCATATATTAGAACTATAATATTATAATCATTTTTTATTTACATGTATTTTTTATGAGAGAAAATATTATAACGAATCATGAACCATGATTCGAATCAGAAAACGAATTCTCCAACTAAACGAGAAGTTAAATGTTATTGGACGTGTTTGAAATTCATTTTAAAATAATTTTATTTTTTATATGAAAATGAGATTGAAAACGTTTTCAATCTCAAACAGAAATCATTTTTAAAAATGTGTTTAGTAGTTTTATCAAGAGATTATTTTCAGTGTAAAAAAACTCATTAATGTCTCTCTCTCTCTCTGCTCGAGAGAGGAGAAACGAAAATAAGAAATGAAAAACGACTAAAAGTCGTTTTTCATTCATCTCTCATTTTACACTAAACTAAAAAATCGTTTTTATTTCTGTTTTTTGTCTTTATTGCGCTAAACGCCGTTTTGAAAGCGTTTTCATTTTTTCTTTCTCAAAAAACGTGAAAAATAAAAATGAGATCAATTCCAAATATGACCACTATTTCCTTTTTAGTAAAACATCAAATATATATATCAAATACTACTTCTTTTAGAGAATAATTGATATCATTTCGCCCCGTTCTCTATTATAACTTTAAAAATTTTAAGATTTACTAGTGAAATTGAGAGGACCTGATTCAATTGTACTCGAAAAACATACTTAATTTTTACTTAATCATCACAAATTCTAACACCGCACAACGTATTGATTGGATACAATACCTAAAGTGGGTTTGTAGAGTCTAAAGGCTTAAACGAATTCTAAAGGCGAAGAATGAAATACATTCTTACTGTTACACTTACTAGACGGTAGTACATATCCAATACTACTTACTTATGGCATGATGGTAAAAAATAAAACAAGACCAAAACTTATACATGTGGTCCTCGTCAAGAAAAAAGAAATAAAAAAAAAAAAAACACAAAACAAGAGATTGGCCAAATATTTCAGAGCCCCACCACCTGTTTTTTCTATTTAAAGTCTTATCAGAAAAGCATCAATCAATGCAAGTGCCATGAAGGCCTGTTTTCCCACACACATTTAATTTCCTCCGTCTCTCTCTCTCTCTCTCTACCCCTCTAGAGATCTCTATTCCTCTCTCTCCCTCATTCTCTGCAATAATATTCTTAGATTATTCTTTGAAATACTGAAATATCGTGACCTTTTACTAATTGATATTCTTAGAAATGGAATATTTGAACTTCATGAATACTCCACACAATAGAACTCATCAAACATCATCATCAACAGGCTCTAGCATGAATCAGAGTAATAGAATCAGTAGTAATAACGGGCAGTTTTCTGATAGCTCGCTGCAGAAGCGTGAAGATCAAGAAAAAAGTGATGACATAATCATGTCATCGCCGCCATTGAATTTGAAGAATCTCTCCAAGCTGATTCTTCCACCGTTGGGTGATTCCAGCTCCAATCAAACTCAAATTCAGTCAAAAGGATGGATCATCTCCCCTATGGTTTCCAGATACAGGTATACAACTACTATATATATACACACACACACACATATAATATACATATATAGCAATATATGCTCGTTTATATATATATATATATACACACACATATAATATACATAGCAATATATGCCCGTCGTTGATAGGAAATTAGAAATGTAAGAAACGATTACTTAATTACAGTATTGATTTCAAAAGCTGTATATTTTGTGGTAACTGTGTGTGAGTATTGTCCAACACAGTTACACATGCATGCATATACAAAAGTGTGCACATAAATAGACACGTGTGATATAATATTAAAAAAAAATGCTCAATCTGGTTCGTATTTTTTAAAACATTTTTATATATTTTTTAAATATGTCATTTTGAAACTTTTGTGCACTACTATAGTTTTTTTTTTTTTTTTAACCTATATATTAAGTTCTTGTATATCGCATGTTTAGGTACATGCCAAATTAATATATTGGTTTTGTTGGTATATAATTTTTGTATTCAATAATTGGCTTACACTTGGTTTTTGATTTTTCGATGGAAAGGTTTGTACTTAGTTATATACTGATAAGTGTATATTAATCGTATATCGTCAGGTATTAATGTTTATACTCTATAAAAAGGGGTAAATATGTAAATATGTATTGACATTTGACCTTCAAAGACAAATGATAAATGTACGTATTGACGTATATGAGGATAGGAACAATCGGAGAAAATATAACTGAAATGCATGGCAAAGTGACAAAATGAGTGATGAGATTAATTGTTTATTAGGAAATAATCCCACTTAATAATTTTCTTATATTCTATCAGCTGATTTGAGAATTAAGAAAGGATTAATAAATTTTTTTGACGAATCTAAAAATTTCCACCAGTACGGACAATTCCAATCATTGAGCTCAATTTTTTTTTTTCTTCCGAACTCTCTGGCACTTTGACGTTTTTATTTTTCTTTTGACGTTTATATTTTTCTTTTCTTTTGACGTTTTTAATTTTTTTTTTTTTAAATTATTGTGGAGATTAATTAATTGGGGCCAGGTGTTGGGAGACATTTATGGTGCTATTGGTGGCATATTCAGCGTGGATGTACCCAATTGAGGTTTCATTTCTAAATTCATATCCAAAGAAACCACTATACATTGCCGACAGCGTTGTGGATTTGTTCTTCGCCATCGACATTGTTTTGACATTTTTTGTCGCTTATATTGATTCCACCACTCAGTTACTCGTTCGTGACTTTAAAAAGATTGCGCTCAGGTAATTTTTATTAATTTCTCTTAATTAAGTTTAGAACACAAACTATTTGTGTGTGTACATATATATATATATATATATATATTGCATAATTGATTTTGAATTTTATAAAATTATACCTTAAATTATAAAATCAATAACAATTAAGGTCCGATAATAAAAGATTATTATCAAATTAATGGTTTAAAACACCACATTGATAAAGATATTCATTGTTCGAACTACGTGCAAATTTGTATTTTGACTTTATAAAACGTTTATAAAACACTTATAAATAATTTTGTAAACGTTTTATTAACTACTTCGCCGTCATGTTTTTTATTCTCTTATACAGTGAAAGTGAAAGAGAAAATATTTAGAAGATACTCCTTTTTCAGAGTCAAAAAAAAAAAAGAAGAAAAGAAAAAACAATCATACTTTGTTGAATGTTACACTTATCCATATCATAATCGCATTATTGCAATAGAGAATTTTTCTTCTAGAATATTCTGTTTACCTTTGTCGTTTGCTGCCGTGGATTTTAAGTATATTCTTTGGGTGGGTATGATACAGAGAAAAAGACACTGCTTTCATACAAAACAGAATAACAGTTTCGTTGTTGTAATAGCAACTAAGCATTAATTATCTTTCGTTACTCCATAATCACTTGTTCGAAAGGATCGATTAAGGGTCCGTTTAGTTCGCTGATTCAAGTTTTTAATTCGAGTTGAGATGTGATTTTATATAAGAACTTTTTACTGTAGTAAATAAGTTTGATGTGACTGTTTTTTAAGACTTTTTACTGTATCTAAACTCGAATCAGTGAAAAGAACGAGGCTTAAATTATTGTTGTAACTAACGAGTTTCTTGTATTGAAAATAACCTGGCCAATATACTAGAAATCTACCCTTTAGTGATGGACAATTATTTATGAAGAGAATGATAAATATTACTTGTGGTTAAACCAATGCACCCCACCACCAAAAAAGAAAAAGAAAAAGAAAGAAAAAGAACAAAAAAGCCAAAAAAAAAAAAAAAAAAAAAGGAATTTATAATGGGGGGTCTTGTCTTATTTTATAGTGGGGAATTTATAATGGGGATAATAGTGACGTTTATTGATTTATATTGATGTAATGTTTTGGTAGGTATTTATCAACATGGTTCCTAATGGATGTGGCATCAACCATCCCATTTGAGACACTCTACTACTTGTTCACCGGCAATAGGAAAATCCCACTCTCTTGTTACCTCTTGGGAATGCTTAGGTTTTGGAGACTTAGGCGAGTCAAACAATTCTTCACCAGGTTAACTGACCCTTTATTTTTTTGTCAATTCATTTTCCATATGATAATTTTTTCTTATCTTATAGACCAAAAAAAAAAAAAAAAAGAGAAATAAAAAGTAACACATCTTATTTCTCACTTTGTAGGCTTGAGAAGGACATCAGGTTCAACTACTTTTGGACCAGATGTGCCAGGCTTTTATTTGTGAGTTCAATTTTCTCTAAGCTATAATCTTTCCATTTCATAGAAAATTTAGTTATCATACATTAGGGACAACCAAAAAAAAAAAAAAAGAGAAATAAAAAGTAAGACATCTTATTTCTCACTTTGTAGGCTTGAGAAGGACATCAGGTTCAACTACTTTTGGACCAGATGTGCCAGGCTTTTATTTGTGAGTTCAATTTTCTCTAAGCTATAATCTTTCCATTTCATAGAAAATTTAGTTATCATACATTAGGGACAACCAAAAAAAAAAATTAAAAAAAAAAGGCCAAAATGTTCATCAAATTCTAATAATATTTGTGTATGCAGGCGACACTGTTGCTAGTACATTGTGCCGGATGTCTTTACTATCTGTTAGCAGATTTGTATCCGCATAAAGGACAGACATGGATTGGAACTGCAATTCCGAATTTCCGGGAGACTAGCCTTTGGATTCGTTACATTTCAGCCTTGTATTGGTCCATCACCACCATGACAACCGTCGGTTATGGCGATCTCCACGCGGTCAACACTGTGGAAATGATCTTCATCATATTCTTCATGCTCTTCAATCTTGGCTTCACTGCTTACATCATTGGCAACATGACGAACTTGGTCGTTGAAGGAACCCGCAGGACTATGGAATTTGTAAGTGTTTTTCTACAAATTTGCGTATAGTTTTGGAGTAGCGACGTATGCTTGGAACTTGAGATGAAAAATGTTTGGCCTTGTTTTGTTCTTCATGGTTTGAAGAGGAACAGCATCGAATCAGCGTCGAATTTCGTATCCCGGAATCGGTTGCCTGCAAGGTTAAAAGACCAAATATTGGCTTACATGTGCTTGAGATTCAAGGCTGAGAGTTTGAATCAGCAGCATCTGCTTGAACAGCTACCGAAATCGATTTGCAAGAGCATATGTCAGCACTTGTTCTTGCCAACTGTGGGGAAGGTTTATCTTTTCAAGGGTGTTTCCAAGGAAATACTTTTGCACTTGGTAGGCTACTTTACTTCTTTTTTTTTTTTTTCCTTTTGAAATGGCAAAAACAATTATGCATACATTGAACATAGAATTCATCTATTTATTTTCCCGGAAGTATTTCTTCCATTTCAAGTTCATCTAGTGAAGAAGCAACTACAGTTCAAATGTCAAGATTACAGAATTATTAGATTCGCTTGAAGTCAATTTAGCTAGACTAGTGACTGGATAACCGAATTACCGAGCAATCTGCAGGTTGCGAAAATGAAGGCAGAGTACATACCACCTAGAGAAGATGTTGTAATGCAAACTGAAGCGCCAGATGATGTCTACATTATTGTCTCTGGAGAAGTGGAAATAATTGATTGTGAAATGGATAAAGAGCTTGCAGTTGGGACTCTACAGTCAGGCCACATCTTTGGAGAAGTTGGAGCTCTTTGCTGCAGGCCACAAGGGTTTACTTACCGAACCAAGACTCTTTCGCAGCTTTTGAGACTTAAAACCACCGATCTAATCGAAGCGATGCAGGCCAGAAAAGAAGATAACCTACAAATTCTCAAGAACTTCCTTCAGGTGATTCTTTCTCTTTAGTTTTTTAAAGAGTAAGGGCTCGTTTAGTTCGTTGATTCGAGTTGAGATGTGACTTTATGTGAGAACTTCCTTCATGTGACTTATGCTATGTTGCCTTACAAGCAGTATCACAAAAAGCTTCAGGATCTTAAAATTGGAGCATTGCTGGTTGAGGGCGGGGAAGAAGAGGGCGATCCCAACATGGCAGATAACTTGTTGACCGTTGCCCACACGGGAAATGACGGGCTTCTGGATGAGCTTCTCAAGGCAAAGCTTGATCCAGACATTGGAGACTCAAAAGGAAGGACTCCTCTGGTAAGTGTATATGTTTCTTCTACTCAAATTCTATTGTAGTTTCAAACATAATTAAATGAAATCCAAAATTCTAAAAGAAGTTAAAATTGATTTTAAATTAGAGTCTATTAAACTAAACTAATTCAGAAAAATCATTCCACTTGGTATTTACCTCTATTATAATGGCTTCATACTTGTAGGAAACTGGTGATTTCTTTAGTATTTGGTGATCTTGAGTTATTAATGCAAAACTTAATAACTAAGTATGCAAATTTGTTCATCTCAAAATGCATACTTTCTAATGGCGCAACAAGATATAATTATATGTTTGTGTTGAATTTTTCTTCTTTTAATACACCAGCACATAGCAGCATCTGAAGGTCATGAAGAATGTGTATTGGTGCTCCTCAAGCATGCCTGCAATGTACACTTAAAAGGTCATTATTTCTTCTTTTGTGCCACAGTCTCTTTTTACTTAAATTGTTTTAGTTTGTCAACTTGTTGCATCCAAAGTATGAAATGTATCTACTTTGAGATATCTTCATCTTAACATTACCATGCTATTTTACACGGCAGATATGAATGGCAACACAGCATTATGGGAAGCTATTGCATCAAAGCACCATACCATATTCAATATGCTTTACCACTTTGCTGTCCTTTCGGATCCATACATCGCCGGGGAACTTCTATGCACCGCTGCAAAAAGAAACGATGTCACGGTGATGAAGGAGCTCTTGAAATATGGATTAAACGTAGACTCGAAGAACCACCACGGGTCGACACCAGTACAAGTAGCCATGGCAGATAACAATGTGGACATGGTGAACTTGCTTGTGATGAACGGAGCGGAGGTTGTCAATGCAAACACGTATGAGTTTCCTTCTACGGCTCTGAATGAAATGCTGGAAAAGAGGGAGGTTGGATACCGGATTAACGTGCCTGAAACTGCGCCAAATGAAGTGCTTTCGATGCAAAGCGAAGCAGAGAAGAGAAAATCTGATGGAGTAAATTGTCCTAGAGTGAGTATATATAGAGGTCATCCAATGGAGAGGAAAGAGACCTGTTGCAAGGAACCTGGGAAGCTAATTAGGTTGCCAAGTTCATTAGAAGATCTCAAAAAAGTTGCAGGTGACTTTTTCTTCTTCTTTTAATTTTCCCCCTCCATGTGTTTATGATAAATTATTTCCAACTTTCTTCATCCAAAACCATTTCTCCCTAACAACTTGTGAAAGTAAACTGTCCTTATTTCTTGGCAAAATAAGAGAAAAGAAAAGTGTAGGAATTTATAGCTTATTCATGCTCTTTTAACAAAGTAAACATCTATGGCCAAAATTTGAACAGAATTTTTTTTTTTTTTTTAAAGAGAAAACATGTACCTTTTTGTTTGAATCATAATTCAACCAGTGAAACAAAAGACCACTATTTTCAGTTTTTAACTTGGACTTTAGAGTTTAGAGGTTAACACATGACTTTTTCACCATTGGAAGCTCCTTTGATCATTTTTCAAACAAAATTGCAAAAGAAACAAAAAAAAAAAATTTGAATTTTTTTTGTTATATACATGTGCTAACTCTTCTACTACTTGATTTCTTGTTCTTTTCCAATCCCTTAATTGAAGAAAACTAGAAAGTAAGGTGCCCTTAGTGGACTTACAGGCTTAATTAATTAATCAAATAACAAACTGGAAAATACAAGTTGTTATCTTTTTTTGCTCATAGAAACAACATAACTTGTATTTTTCAGTTATTATTTTGAAAGTATTTTTTTTTTTTTTTTTTTTTTATAATTGGGAGAGTATTTCTTTTGATTTTCAGATTTATAACTTGACTTTTTGTCTGTGTGGTTTTTGTTACTTCAAACAGGCGAAAAGTTTCGGTTGAATTGCAGAGAAATAATTGTAACAAACGAGGAAGGTGCAGAAATTGATTCGATTGAAGTGATTAGAGATAATGATAAGCTTTTCATTATGGAAAATGACACAGATTAATTAATTGACCATTAAGGCCAAGTCTTGGAAATTAATGTGATCGATCGAGAAGTTAACATTCACTAAAGTAACAATTTCGCTTGTAATGTTAGCTCCTTGTGTGGATCTAGTTTAAAATTTTGAACTGTAAATGTTACACAATCAATTGAAATGTATTAATATAAAGTTTCTTATTGCCTAACTTCTTTGAAGCACTTTAGGGCCTCATGTTTCTGAGACTTATAATTTCTAGAAATGTTTAGACGACCTTCAAAAGAGCTTTTTTTTTTTTTTTTTTTTTTCTTTTAAAAAGAACTTCCCCTATTAGAACTTAGAAGGTAGCTTCCTAACTTTGGCTCAATTGGGCAGCTATAAGTAAGCTTGTCATTTGACTTAATTAGGATTCTTAATCCGAATTATTGTCTGCATTTTATTATTTACGACGTTTGTTTTTAGTAATTATGGCAAGACTTTTTTTATTGGTTAAAGGGAAATTGGGATGGGTGGCAGATTCTTCACCGAACCAAAAATTTATGGCCGCAGTTTTTGAACTTTTAATAGATGGCCAATCATTGAACAAATATTTTTAAGGGCCCGTTCGGTTTGTTAATTCAAGTTGAGATGTGATATTATGTGAGAGCTTTTTACTGTAGTAAAAAAGTTAGATGTGACTGTTTCTGAGAACTTTTTACTGTAGCAAAAATTGAATTCTAAACTCAAATCAACGAAAAGAACGGGGCCTAGTCTCGTTCATTTCACCAATTCGAGTTTAGAATTTGAGTTTTATTAAAAAGTTCTAAAAAATAGTTACATCTAACTTTTTTACTGCAATAAAAAACGCTTACATAAAGTCATATCTCAACTCGAATCAGCGAACTAAACAGGCCCTTAGGTTTTCCTAATTTATCCTATGTTCTTCTTCTTACTATTTGAGTAGATGACACCGGGAGTTACAATGATGGAGCTCAATCACAATCTCCTTCACGAAGACGGCTCAAGATCTTCTTGTCTCCTCAATTGCGAAGTTTGTGCTAGCCATAGAGATCAAGTACATTATCAATGTGACTTGACGGTAAGGGGCAACATCAGAGATAGGGTGCTGCAACGAACAGAGAGATTCCAGAAAAACAGAGACGAGAAAGGATAGATCTCAAGGTCCCGTTTATTTTTTCGATTCGAGTTTAGAATCCGAGTTTTGCAACAGTAAAATGTTCTCAGAAACAATCACATCTAATTTTTTCACTACAGTAAAAGATTTCACATAAAGTTATATCTCAACTCGAAGTAAAACTCAAATCAACAAACTAAACGGGCCTCAAGTGTGCAAAGGCGACAGCGGCCGGGTAGAAGAGAGGGTTTCATATAAGAACTAGGTGTCTAGGTTATTAGTTATACAAGAAGGCTATTTTTGTCTAAGTGTATTAATAAGAATAACGACCATTTAACTAATTATAAAAAACTGGTGACATGTTCTTAAATGGGGTCCTTTAAATGGCTCATTTTCCCTCAAATCTCTTGGTTAAATTCAAGTTACCAGGAGTCAGTTCTTTGACCCTTTTTTTTTACTTGCATTGATTATGCAATCACACATTTTTTTAGGTTCAAAACTTGTATCAAACCTCTCATAGGAGTGGGATTTTACTGCTCCAAAACTTCCAAAATTAAAACCTTATTTTCATAGATTACTAATTCCTTTGTAAACCTCTTGTAATTTATTGTGACATAGATAGTCACCGTCTCAAGTTAAAGTCGATCGTTGTAGAAGGTGTAATGAAAAGACTTGGTAACAATTGACATAGACATATTACTGAACTGTTCTAAAAATACATTACGCTTTCTTCTTGTTCTTTTATTTTACTTGAGACTTATTTATATTGCTTATTATATCGATTGTTGCTTCCTTCTTTTATTAGATTATGTCAATTGAGAGAGCATTTTATTATAGAGTGGATACAGTTATAATTTATTAAATCACTTGTGCAATTAATCACATAAACTTTCGATAATTATTAAGAAAATTGAAAAGTTTTAAAAACCTGTGTCGTCTCTCCTGCTCTCTTTGGTAGTCATTATTAGGCTGAAAACTTCGACTCCATCTTTGTGGTTGTTAATCGATTCTTAAAGATGGTCTACTTTATCCATTGTAAGACATCTTGTTCTGCAAGATCACCTTTGATTACAATGCTTGCTTTCTCAAGCACTTCTGGTGAAGTTTCTTGAAACTTCTTAAACACCAGCTTGAGTTTCAATAGTCCTTAGCATCCTCAGACTAATGGTGAAACTTCTCAACATATGGTGATCTTTCTTATTGGAATAAAAAAAAGACGGATCCCATTGTCAAAGAGGCTCCCATATTGACATGTTCGGGGGAAAGCTCAATCACATATGTACGCGACCTTACCCCCTGAAGGAGATGCCATTTTCGGGATTCGAACCCTGGACCCCGGGTGCAAACGCAAGCGCTCCCACCACAGTGCCAAGCCTCCGAAGGAGAACTTGTCGTATGAGACATTGTTTTTTTCTTTCCAATAATCTCAAATGGCGAAAGAAGAAGAGTATTATTAATGGTATAGATCACGTATGTCATAAATGAAATGTTTTATGTAGAGAAAAGATGCTTGAGTAATTGGATAAAAATCCAATATAGTTGATATTTGCGAAATTACTTGATGGGTTATAGGAAAAAGAGAACATGCTTCTAATTATCTGCATTGGAGAAAAAGAAGTATTTTCATTTAATAACCTTATTGAAAAATTTTAAAAGTTCAACATGATCTTAATTTGATCTATATAAAATATATGTGATTATATTGGGGACATTGAGGAATATTGAGGGTAAAACAAAAGACACATGTGTTGACGTAGATGCTATAGGATAGCATATGAACTACATCCTAGTTACAATGATGGAGAACTTTTATTTTAATTCTGACATTTATACATTCTACATTGATAAAAGAAAGTATTGTGTGGCCTTTTGAATTCAGTAGAGCACTATAAAATCCCTCCTAGGTGACACTAGAAGCAGTGTTGAGTAAGTAGTAAACTCAGGAATTCTGTAGCTTGAGCGATTCAAGGGAAAG